TGGGACGATGCGCAATTCCGACGCCTAGTCCCGCAGCAGTGCGCTCAGCCGCTCCCGAAATATCTTTGATGTACGGCAGCGCATGCCATACTATAGGCGTTTGTTCTGGTCTGGTCCCCGGAGGGCGGGCACGTCGGGACGTCTACACATAGTTTGTCTTCTGCTCCCTGTCTCTTTGACGGAGGAAGCGTTCTACGCGTTTGCGGAGAAGTATTGAGGTTGTGGTGACATTTCACGTGATGGTACATACGAATCAGGCATACTTATTTCTGCGCGACGGGGTGTGCTGGAATATATCGTAGTTAACTAACGAAACTATACGAGCTGCCAGTTTCTCTGGTGAGGATTAAATTCCTGACCTCAATTCACCCCGCCTCCCCACCCCCCTTGGCAACGGCAATATGTTTTTCTACAATAATTGATCTAAAACCCTTATTTTCTAAATTCCACAGCACAAATTTGAGTCCGGCAATATTAATCCGGTCTGCCCAAAATATTATTGAGACAGAGGCAAGCTTTATGTTGAAAATATAATTCCAAAATTTTCAGTTAAAAAACGTCCTTCATTCAAAAGAAATAAAATTAGGCGCACAAACTCCCAACACTATGAACTCAAAAGTAATCCATAATCGCCAATGACTGCAATTTTGGGAATCGTGGATAAATGTCCTTGGAAAAGTCGGATTTAGGTCAAATTGGACTGAGTTCAAAACAGCTCTAGCTTCGTGCACACATGCCCTCATGACTTTTTGTATTTCAAATCAACAAAGAGGGATAAAAGTCGGTTTATAATGGGCGAAGTACGATTTTTCTTTGTCGGATCCACTCCATCATATGTCTGAGGTCGCTAAGCGACAGCCTGATATCGCTCAAGTGCGAGCCTCGAGCCACTTCCGGGACAAGTCTGTGTCCTAACCAGATAGATCGGATGAACACCCCAGTTCAATATATACAAGAGAATTTACATGAGAATGGAGGGAGGAAAAATGGCGGCTCAATCTGAATAGCCCTCCGGTATCGTTTTGTTTTTGCAGCCGGTACTAAAGCTCGGTGGTATCTGCGATCATATTGCCGCACACATCTTGGCACTTTGTGGCACAATGGGTCCTCGAACCAGTTCTCCTGGCAGTCGGCCCGAGCAGCTCCACTTTCTGGATGTCAAAGGCGATCATCATCACCGAAATTATAGCGCCTACAAAGAAGATAATAAAATGAACTGGAAAATCGGCATCCCAAGAAGTATAATTATGTAGAAAAGGCACTTTGGGAAACGATGGTTTATTAGGTGAATTTTCGAAGCCGGAGACCCTACTTCGTCTTCAGAAGTAGAAAAATAGGGTTCTTAGCTTCGAAAATTCACCTAATAAATCATCGTTTCCCAAAGTGCCTTTTCTTCATAGATAATAAAGTATTTGGATTTCTCACACCGAGGTAAATACGGATCACATCTTTTGTCTCCTGTTCTCAGTCTCTTTGGCGGAAGAAGGTTTCTGTGCGTTTGCGGAGAAGTATTCAGGTCACGGTAACATTTCGCTTCATGGTACATATGAATCAGGCATAGTGATTTCTCCACGAAAAGGTGTGCTGG